GTGTGTATATATATTTTTTTATATATATATATATATATATATATATATATATAAGTATTTAAGTATGTGTCTATGCACATATACGTTAGATACAACACAAATTTAATGTCAAATAGATATATTTTATGCAGAAATACATTACATACATCATAGATAAATTGAATACGCTAATGTCCTCTCAAAATCAATATGTAACTATGTAGAGATACACTGAATACTATGCATAAATACACTGATATTGGATACATGAAATTGATACGTGATACATTAGATGAAATTGATATACACAGTACATATTTGATAGTGGATGCAAGATGCATGATATGATAAAACACATATACATGGAAGTAAAGGGACGAATGCGAATGAGAAAGAGGAAAGATGTGATATACATTCACTAGATACAATAGATCTAGAGACACATAGACTATATCTACAGGTAAATACAATATGTCTAAACACAACTCAAACAAGTTACATAATTATTAAAACTAGGGAAAAAAAGACAAATATACCCCCAAACTATCATAAATGGTACGAAGATACCCTCCGTCATATTTTTAGGACATTGATACCCCTGCCGTCCAAAAACTAGAGCATATATACCCTTTATACCATTTATGATGAGTTAATACCTCAGATGGTCACTCAACTATGCACTCTTCTCTCAGAAAGTCACTCAATTTATTTAATTATTTTATTAATTAAAATTTGACTATATTAATTGTTTATATAACAAATCAAAATTTTTAAAATAAAATACCATTTAAACCATTTAGTGATCCACCCACCTAACCTGACCCATTAAAAAAATATAATATAACCAATTTTATTTTGCCCTTAATCCTAAATTATTCCCTCTCTTTCTCCTCAACATAAATTATTTACCCGTCTTTCATTTCTTTTTGCAAAAATAAAAATTAGAAGTAAGGCAAAGAAACACATCTAAGTTATGATGAAATTATCGGCTACACACTTGAATTATGCAGGTGGTCTATAATCCCTTAAACTTATTATTTTTTGTATTTTTTTACCTCTTCAATTAATTACCTTAGTAAAGAAAAAAAGGGTACGACACAATTAGTGTAACACACACTTACGACCTTATTGTTTGGTGCAATCTTAATAGAAATGTATTTGATCATCTCCATAACTGTAAACCTTACATATATTCATGCTCGAGTTGCTGAACTTGTTATTTAATTGCTCATAAAATAGAGGGAATAATTTAGGATTAAGGGCAAAATAAAATGGGTCATATTATATTTTTTAATGGGTCGAGTTAGGTGGGTGGATCACTAAATGATTTAAATGGTATTTTTTATTTTTTAAAATTTTGGTTGTTATATAAACAATTAAGAGCAACTTTCACATATAGCAAACATAAAAATTATATTTGTGTGTCATAGCTATAGTTTGCATAATTGCGCTACATAACAAATTTTATGTTTGTGATGGAGCTTTTGATTTGTATAATTCGCTAGATACATTCAATTTTTATACAAATTTGTTCAGTTTTATATAAATTCATTTATACATTGTAATTTGTATAATAAGATTTGTATTTATATAATTATAAGTGTATAGGACGAAAAATATATGTATTTGTATTTGTATATACACTCTTCTCTCGCTTTATACAAACACAAACACATTTTATACATTTTATACCAAAAATGTATAAAATGACTAATTGTATACTGAAAATGGCTAATTGTATACCGAATCAAATGGCAAAAATTTGGGATGTTTGCTGCGAATTATAAATAAAATAAACTATGTCTATAGCATTTAATTTGAATTAATAGTTTGCTATTTCATACAATTTTTCCAACAATTAATATCAACAAATTTTAATTAAAAAGTAATTAAATAGATTGAGTGACTTTCTGAGGAGAGAGTGGATAATTGAGTGACTTTCTAAGAAAGAAGTGCATAGTTGAGTGACTTTTGAGTTAAAATGAACTTGAGTGACTTTCTGAGAGAATAGTGCATAGTTGAGTGACCATCTGAGGTATTAACTCCATTTATGATAGAGTGAAGGGCATATACGTTCTAGTTTTTGGACGGCAGAGGCACCAATATTTCAAAAGTATGACGGAGGGTATCTACATACCATTTACGATAGTTGGAGAGTATATTTATCATTTTTCCCTTAAAACTATCACACGTTGAGTAATTAACATTTATACCAGTGTACTTTATGAAAGTTATTTAAATTATTAATTATATCGTTATCTCTCTGGATTATGACAATAATTTCCAATTTTAAACCTTTAACGAGTAAAAATTAGAACTCAAAAGAATATATTTTTTAAGCGCTTTTATGTATTCCACATCCTCCCAAAGAGGCTACGTGGGGCCTCTACCGTTTCAACATTTGCTCACGTGCACATCACGTGATTAAGTTTCCTCCCTGAATATACAAATCATCTTCGAAACTAGCTTCAGTTCCATCCGCCGTCGCCGACCGCCGACTGCCGTGAAGGTTTCAACTTCCGACCAACCGCCGACCGCCGGTACGTAACCTCTTCCGTCGCTGTAAGACGGAACTCCGTTACCTGTTATCAGGAGTGGACTCGAACAGTTTATGAGCCTATATCCACTCCAATTGTTGACATACAGTTCACATTACCGAAACCTTAAACCTTTTGACATTTCACCACTGTCGTTAACGATGAAGGACCGGCCGCTGTCATCATGCGGCGCTGTTTACGTCCCTCCACATCAACGCCTCCGTTCAGTAATCACTGTTCCCTCTGCTGTTTCTCCACAACCTGGCAGCTTTCGTCCTACAGCAATCGATCAAAAACCTAATCCTAACTCTCTCAAGTCCTACGCTTGCCTTCCGCCTCAGCAGCAACCAGTGCGACTGCAACATAAGAGAAGTTCACAATTTGATGAGGTTTCTGAGGAAGGGGGTGATATTGAGCTTACGCCATATCAGGTAGGTGAGACACGTCTATCTGTAGCATTTTGAAGTTTAATCAATGTCAGGATTCTTTGTTCTCCTTTAGGCATGCATTACATAGGTACCCAACTTAAGTGTTTAAAATGAACAAAGGATTTCAATTAGATGGCCTGAATAGAGCAGAATGTATAGATAGGATTCATATTATTGGCCTCAACTAGTTTGGAATTGAGGTATGTTGATACTTAATATACCAGGTAGCTTGAGCAATTAAGTGCGCGAATTAGTTGGGAAGAATCTTGGGGTCTAAATTCAGTATTCACAATGCTTATAAATGCTGTTTATACAATTAATTTTAAGGACTGTTTCTGCTCGATAAATGTAAGTTTTCTTCCTTAATTGGGCTATGTTTGAATTGTTGTATAATGATCCAATTTGGCTTAGGAAATGACTAAATGGGGAAATCTCAATGATGGCCTAGTTTTTACTGAAGAAAGGTGATTGCCTAATTTCATTTAGAACTCAATTATTGCCTAAATTCGATTGAAATTCGATTTCTGAGCAAGTTAACTCAAAATAGTGTTTTGAAGCTTCAATGGTATGTTAAAGTGGATTTGAAACTTACATTTGGGTCATGATTGTATTATGTTAGGTTACTTGAGTAGTTACGTAATCTAAGAACGTGAGAATATTGTCATTTGATTTGGTTTATGGGTGATATACTGACACTTTAATCTACAATTCTGTGAACATCGCATCTTTGTGTTGTCTTGAATCTTTGACTTCGTTCTTTGGTTTTAACACGACTCATGTATTTTGATAAGTTAGATAACCAAATCCACAAATCTGAATATTGAGTTTTAGATCAATGATGTGACCCTATGCGAGTAAAATGTAATTAAGGATCATATGTGTTTAAGCACTGAACTGCATTGGAAAGCATCGCATGCATATTAACTTGAGTTAGGCATGGTTGTTTTCTTTTGCCTTGGACCTTTGATGTTCAGGCATGTAGCAAGATATGCATAACAAGAAAGCCTGATTAAGATTTCCGAACTACAGTAATTAATATAATGAATAATAAAGTTGCCATTGCCAGCACCCTACAACTCTGTTTCATTAAATAATTGGTGTACAATGCGGTTATCAGTTGACTTGAATTTAATAGTAAGTATTATCAACAAAATAGACAAATTAAATTCAGTCCATCCCTTTTCCTCACTCTCTTCTGAGCTTTTCTTTTTGGCTCAATGACCTTTCTGCACTAGTATGGGTCTTCATCTTTTTTCTTCTTGGACCTTGTAACTATTCTCATTTCTTTTTCAAGTTTTCTATAAAAAATAGATAATATAGTAACTCTTTCATAGACAGGAAAAATATAATCCCATTCTTCATGTGTAATTAGATACTATCTTTATCCTATCCTATCTAGTGTTATTGAACATGGATTAAGTGCTTATTGTTGTTAGACTTCGTGATATGCTCTTAAGTCACTAGTCCTGAAACCTGCCTAATTATCAAGTAATATGCTGATCAGTGGTTGCACTAGTGTTTTTTCTAGAGTTATTAGATTGTTTTAATGCTGGAGTTATATTCTTATCCAGATATATGTAGTTCATATCAATTAACTGAAAAATTTAAAATGTTACACTCAAGGGTGTGACCTAGTGGTCAAGGAAGTGGATTGAGAACCATGAGAAGGTTCAAATCCCAGTAGAGGCAAAACACTAGGTGATTTCTTTTGGTTTGTCCTAGCCTTGTTGGATAAAGTTACCAAGTACCTGTGTCAGTGTGCTAGTGGGAGGTAGCAAATACTCATAGAATTAGTCGAGGTGCGAACAACCTAGTCCGGACACCATGGCTATTAAAAAAATAATTGAAAAATGCTACAACTTGTTTAAACATAAATATGGCATTAGTTTGCACCTCTCCGGTAAGTTGCGTCTGAACAAGAGTGTTCTTGTGGCCCTAATATTATATGCGTCAACTTGACTACACTACACATTTATGTTGTCAGCATTTCACTGTTGCTGAAATGATGGAATCACTGATCTGGACATATGGTGAATGAATCAACATACACTTGGATGATAGGCACACATGGTGGAGACTTGAACTTGACCATTAATCTGAAGGAATCAACCTTAACCCATAGGTCACTGACATCTTTTCTATTTGGAGCATTCCTGACATGGATGGGTTGTTAACTAAGTTGCATGGGCTCTTCACTTTCGATGCCGCACCCGTGTCGGATTCTCCAAAAATACACTACTTTTGGCGAATCTGACACGCACCCCTTGACATTTTTGAAGAGTCCGAGCAACATAGGCTTTTTAAACTTTCTATTTTGATCTGATGATGAGGTTTTATACGTGTCAGTGAATGTTTGCTTTGTCATGGAAAATAACTGCTCATGTCCAGCTACTTTCAATTGCATATACAATCTTATCCATGTTATGGCTTGCATGCATTTACAGCTAATTCTTCCCGTCTGCATGTATCACAAATATAAGCCACCTGACTGTCCTATAACATTAAATGGATTCCAGGGTGCTGTCACATCTGATAACACTGAAACATGGAAATGGAAGCTCACTGGTCTGCTACACAACAATGATATACAAGAGGTGCTCTCAAGGGAGAAAAAAGATAGGCGTGATTATGAGCAAATAGCAGCTTTAGCAAGCAAAATGGGTTTATATAGGTATCTTTGATTAGGAAGTGTCTTTTTTCTGCACTTGTTTTGGTACAGAACTTTAATATGCTACCATCCTTTGCAGCAACCTATATTCAAAAGTAGTTGTTGTCAGCAAGCTTCCATTACCTAACTACAGGTTTGATTTGGATGATAAGCGTCCTCAGAGAGAGGTATGTTCTTGACCTGTTAGATATTCTTATTCAGTTATTTAAATTTTGACTCAACGCCAATGTTTCCACTTCTATTTTCTTTTATTTAATATTTTAATTGTCTTAGTCTGGATTTACATTCCTGTTGCTTCCTACTTGATCAGGCTTTGTTTTAATTCATGCCTGGTTCCTGTATTCCCTCTTCTACCTCTCTTTCCTGTCCTTTATCTCATTAATGATGATAAAGACTGCGACCTTTAAACAATTGTCAGGTGATCCTGCCTCCGGGTTTACCTAGAAGAGTAGATGTTTTTCTTGGAGAATACTTGTCTCGTAATCCAAGGAGCACGGATGTACTTTCACGATCAAGCAGTAATGGCAGTATAGCTACTGATGAGGGTCTATTTGAGCAGTCAGAGGCACTCCCTCAAAGTAAGGCTTCCATGAAGAAAATCCATTGGGAAAGGAGTATGCAAATGCAGACAGAGCAGCAAACTTGGCAGGTTCAATCACCTCAAACTTTAAAGCACACTGACATCTGTAAAAATTAAGAATTATCTCCCTCTTCCAACCTTGTCTTCACTTCAAGTAAGATGCTTAGTTTTCTTGGTCTACTTTCTATAGGTCAGACATGATAATCAAAGTTTTTGCTGCCTGAAACCTCATCATGGAGTGAGAATTAAATGCTGTAATGATACATGCTTCTTAATTTGTCCGGAGTCTGGACTAAGCAATGAAAATAGGTGTTGAGATTAGAGGAAACGAGAATACAATTACACTAGCTGATCTGTCAAAAAGTTTATAGATACACCATGTAGTATATTTTTCTTGTTAACATAGTAAGACACTAGGAGCAGAAGTTGAGGGGCCAGGAGATCCACACAGTCTATTGCAGGGCAAAAAGTTTTATCTTCTAATGCTTCCTTAAGAAGGTGCAATTGAATCTACTGTTGCTGGGGCAGCCCTTAAAAATCGACGACATAATAGCTAGTAGTTGTTTTTTTTTCCCGCACACCTTTGTTGGAAAATAATAATTATCTTTTCTCTAACTTCTCTAGAAAAGAAAAACATGTTGTTCACTTGCTGTTTTCCTCTAACCTGCGTATGGTGAGAGATAGGAGATCTGTGAACTTAATTGTGGTGCCAAAACAACTCTTATAAAGTCATCTGTGGTATGCATGTATAAGATAAGGACGCAACATACTCAAGTGAAAAGTTATAACTGTTGTTTATTTGGAAACAATTTTTGTGTTTATTCCCAAAGGATTATACATAACATTCCCAGTTAGTTGAGAAAATAGTAACAGTTATAGGATATAACACATCATGACCTTAATTTTGCCTTCATCCTTTTTCTCCAAAATGCCCTTACTTTTCCTAAGTAGGTATCCTCTCATTCTTTCTCCACTGGTTCTCTTTTCTTTTCTTGACTATTGCGGATCTCACACTACGTTATTTTAGACTGTACTTCAGTTTTTTTGCTTTTACTAGAAATATTTGGGCATTCAGAAAAGAAGAATTTTAGTCATCTTTGATTTTTGGTGAATTTGATGTCTAGATAGGAATAATATTGATCATAATTGAGTTCTGAAGAATCTGATTCATGGACCTATCTAAAATCATTGAGGGCTCTGGTTTTAGTTGATAGAAGTGATAAACTTCTGGGTTAGGTTCTCAAATTAGGAGGTGTTAAGACACGAAGATTTGTTCCTCTCCTTCTAGGCAAGCTACTTCGTTCCTCAGCAAAGTGTCCACTTCTTTATCGACAGATTTCATTCGATTTGTTGAAGCTTAGTTGGTGGAAAATTTGACATAAATGTTTGTGCTAGCTGGAGTTTGCACGTCGTGTAATGCTCTTGTTCATATAAAAGCTTAGTATTTATAGAGAAACTAAGAACAAATCCAAGAGAGGTCCTTGTTCATGACATCAAGCAAAAAGCCCTCTATGTCTTCTACTGAATTGCATAAACAAAGGTGCAATTTCTCTAGTATTAAGCGATTTTTTAGGCAAACCTATTTTACCTGTATTCATAGGAAAAGAATATCTTCAAATCTAATATATGTCTGACTACTTTAGCAACCACTACCTGAAAAATTTTCAGAAACGAATTTCTGAAAATCGGTGTATAAACCCAGTATCAACTGTTTGTAGGGAGAACGGTATGTGTTAGAGTGAGTAAACAGTCTGCTGTGACTTTGTTCCTTTGATCCTTTCACATAGATCTTTCTGCACTCTAGCTCTATGCTGTTTCTATTTTCTCCACAGTTTGTAGCTTTTTATAGTTTTTTGTTTTTGTTTTTGAGTTTGTTCTGTTTGTTTAATATAATGTTGTAAAAGTTTATCGGTATATATTTTTTTTGTTCCCTGTGGAAGATCGATTCATGGAATATCATTCTTGTTTGTTACAGGAATCACCTGAGGGTAGGAAGATGCTGGAATTTCGTAGTAGTCTACCTGCGTATAAGGAAAAAGACGCAATATTAAGTGCCATTTCACAGAACCAGGTATGTCAGATCTTGAGAAATCTGTCCTCGCCACTTGGCCCATCATTGCTGTATTAGAGCAGTGCCATGTGCATTTTATGTCACTGGTAAAGGAGAAAAAGAAGAAAGGGAGAACTTCTTTTGATTTGTTGTTTTTATGATACATTTGGGTAGGATCATAAAATATGTGGTTGTGAAACTATCATCAAACTCTAGAAGAAAAATAAAGCCTTTCTTATATTTTGAACAATTAACATTCATTTTGGGTTGTTGGTGGGCAAGCAAGACATCCCATTATTAGAATCCATTGATAAGGAACTGGATAAATTCACCCAGTCATCGTTGTTAGTTTATCCAGTTTCTTATCAGACACCAAATGAACCTTTACAAATCTTGCCATATGAGATATCTAGCAAAGCATTCACATATAGTGGAAGAACCAAAATTCTTTTTGTTGGTCAAGCATAAAGCAGATGAGGGACGAAATAAAAGGTGTCTGTTTTGAAATATGTCACAGCATTGTAAATCTCTTCTTCTTGCTTGGGATTTAGGGGTGTGGCTTAAGCGAAGAAGTGCAAATGAAAAGATTTTAAGCATACAGATTGAATATGTTAGCAAACTGCAGTTCTTGGAGCCCTTTGAAGCTCTATTAAATTCGTCTAGTATTCTGGTACGCCATTTTCTAACCATTACTGGGTCTTAGCTTTGTCTGCGAATGACCTCTCTGCGATTTGAAGAGTGTTGATGCCCGCTCTTAGCTTGGTGGTTTTTTGTTTTTCTAATTTTATTTAGGGAACTAGTATAGTTCAAAATGGAATGTGTAAAAGAAAACATGCAGTAGCTAAATTCCTTGGGAAAGGCTTGATCTTTTTAAAACTTCTCATGATGATTCTGATATTAGGATAAGCTTTTCCGTGTGAACAGGTGGTTATTGTCTCTGGTGAAACTGGCTGTGGGAAGACCACACAGATTCCGCAGTTTATTTTAGAGTCTGAAATTGAGTCTATTCGTGGAGACATGTGCAGTATCATATGTACACAGCCAAGAAGAATATCTGTTATGGCAGTATCTGAAAGAGTTGCCGCGGAGAGAGGGGAGTTGTTGGGTGAAACAGTGAGTTTCTGTACTAGAAAATAAAATGGCATACATTCCATCACGCATGACTTAAGTTTGGAATAAGTATTCTGTCTTCTTTGATGTCTTTGCAGGTTGGATATAAAGTTAGGCTAGAAGGTGTTAAAGGAAGGGACACTCACCTCCTCTTCTGTACAACTGGTATCTTGTTAAGAAGGCTACTGGTTGATAGAAATCTGAAGGGAATCACACATGTAATTGTGGACGAGATTCATGAACGTGGAATGAACGAAGGTATATTCTTGTCTTTAAAGAGATTGTGGAGTTCATGGAATCTACTTTCTAACAATTGAGTATGTATTATACCAGACTTTCTGCTAATAGTTCTGAAGGATTTACTCCCACGTCGGCCAGAATTAAGGTTGATCTTGATGAGTGCCACCTTAGATGCAGAGCTTTTCTCTTCATACTTTGATGGGGCTCCACTAGTCCACATTCCGGTGAGTAAGTTGGTTGACTAATTGTGTTTTCAATTGATGTTCGACATTAATTTATGGCAATGGTCCTATTCCTCTTCCTCTTGTTCTGTACTACCTGAATACCAATTTATTTGATAAGACATAGTTTGACTGCACAGAAAATTTCTCATGTATATTCTTTTGGTAGTAGAAGAAGAAAACATTAAAGCAGTTGTAATATAAAAAAATAAATTTGAATAATGTGATGTTGTCAGAAAAATAGTATAGTGAGGTGTTTCTCTTTGTAGAAATCTTTTTATCTGATATTTGCTAGTTCCTTTTATATATTTTGTTTGTTGGTTTTCTCTTTTTTATCAATTAAACAACGTGTATCATATGTTAATTATTAGAACTTCTCTATATGGAAATTTTAATCTGTATTTTAACACTATTTGTTTGAAACCTAAAATATAAGTTAGAGGACAATAAGCTAATTAGTCATTTGAAATTAAAATATCTTCTGCGCAGTTATGCTATTTTGGTTACATGTTATATCAATTCAAAATGATGTGATTTTATATAAAGCTACAAAGCTGAACAATTAGCCAGTTTAGATATTACATTTGAATACCACACTTTTATTTTAAGAGGTATAATACAGACATGGTCATTACGCTTCAATCAGGTTATTCTATTCCACCTATTAGAAGAAAAAAAGAACTTAAATAAAAATACTTAATAGCATGGCGATACATTTATACGAACTTCTACCCCGAGCTCATGTAATGAAACCATAGATAATTAAGTGAAGTCTAATCCACAAATTATTTGATCTATAAGATTTTAACCATTGTATTCAGGAGATTTTAACATTATATATTGGCTGAGATGTTTGGCTCTGGCCTTTGTTTGACACAAGATTTCAGAATGAAAGAGAACGTCTAAAGTCTGACTATTTCAAGACAGAATTTTATATTTGAATTTGTCTTGTTATAGTTACTTATTTATTCACCGATATTCTTTAATTAATTCCATGAGACAATCTATTTTAGCAAAAAGAAAATAAGAGTGTCGACAATTAAAAATGCATCAGACATGAGAACTCTTTCAAAAAGTTAATTAAACTGCATTAAGCTGGAGCAAACCATTTACTCAACCATATCTGATGACATAGCTTCTATATAGTTCAAATTTTTTTTCTTTCAAATTTCAACAAAAGTATTAAAAACACAGCTAAATTTTGTTCCTCCCAACATGTATTTTTCATATCTCATTGTATCACTGGATAGTCAATATCCCATATATGTATTTTGTCTTCATATATTACAGATGAATACCACCAAGTTCCATGAACCCATTTAGTTAATAAACAGAGGTTCCAACATAGAGTCATTTAGAGAAAGCATTAAGCATGTATGAGTATAAAATAAAAAGCAATTTATATCAATATACACATTAAAAAAAAATTAGGGATAATTTCAGAAAACTCCCCCAAGTTTAGCCTTATAACACTCACTTCCCTTGGGGTTTTGAATATTACATTTACCTCCCCTGTTTTAAATTTTTGTAACCAAACTTGTTTAAATGATAATCTTTCAATAACATTCCAAAAATACCCTTTTGTGACATTGATTTTTTCATACTCCTACTAGATTGATGACCCGAACAATATTTCGTTCAAAAAATAAAGACCCTTGGCTGAAGAAAAACAGTCTAAAAAACAAGAAACAATGGAAGTATAAGAAATAACACATAGTAACGGAATAGTACTACAACAATATAGTTTGAACCTTATCCAAAAGAAATAATCTAGAATGATTACCTGCATGAAGGATTTTTGACAATATCAGTTGAGATTGGGATTCGATCAGCATCTTATTTAGCGGAACTTATTAAATTTAGAGAAAATCACAGACCTTCCAAGTGGCTGAAAGGAATAGGAGTGAAATTTTCCTATTCAGGTTGTGGATTTTCCTAATGGAGTATGTGAAATGCGCGATATAGTTCATTTCTTCTCTTATTGGGTAGAGCATTGGTGTTTAACATCATACCTGTTTGCTGTTTCTTGGTTAAGACACTAAACAGTTAATCCACATTCAGCCCTTTTTTTCCTGGATACAATTTAATCCATACTTACATTGCTTCCATATTATTTTTGAAAAGTTTTTCCATGGTCTTTATTAGGGATTTACATATCCAGTTCGCACTCATTTCCTGGAAAATATTCTGGAGATGTCGGGGTACAGGTTGACGCCAGACAATCAGATTGATGATTATGGGCAGGAGAGAGCGTGGAAAATGAACAAACAAGCTCCAAGAAAAAGGAAGAGCCAGATTGCTTCTGCTGTTGAGGTTTCTACTTTTAAAAGCAACTTCCACAATTTTCATTTGCTACAACTCCTCTGCTAATATTTTATTTGTCGTCAGGACACCCTCAGAGCTGCTGATTTCCAAGAATTTAGCCCTGAGACACAGGAGTCTTTGTCTTGTTGGAATCCTGATTGTATAGGCTTCAATTTTATAGAATATATTCTATGCCATATTTGTGAAAATGAAAGGCCCGGTGCTGTTTTAGTTTTTATGACGGGTTGGGATGACATAAGTTCTCTGAAGGATAAGCTACAGGCTCATCCTATCTTGGGGAATACAAGCCGTGTTTTATTGCTGGCATGCCATGGTTCTATGGCTAGTTCAGAGCAGGTGAAGAAATTTTCATTTATGCTTTTACCTTGCATTTGCCTTGCATGTAAACTATATTTTTGATACAAGCTATTCTCAAGGATATATCATCTGTTACTAATGTAAAATTTCAGTACAAGCATTACTAGTGTATTTTCTGTTCTCCTTGTATGATTGGTCATCAGAATAGGTGTTCTGCCTATTAGCTGGTGACTTGCACTTTCTGTTTTTCTTACCATTTGACTTGTTAGATTGAGCAGGTTTTATAATTTACAAATTTCTACTTGGTAGAAAAAAAAAAGGAGTTCACAATCTTAATTGTCCAGTTTATTATCTAAGCTCTTGTGCTTCTTATTCATTTAGTCGTTTTGCTTATATGTAGAGGTTAATATTTGACAAGCCTGAAGATGGAGTAAGAAAGATTGTGTTAGCTACAAATATTGCTGAGACCAGTATCACGATTGATGATGTAGTGTTTGTTATTGACTGTGGCAAGGCAAAAGAGACGTCATATGATGCACTTAATAATACTCCTCGTTTGCTTCCTTCTTGGATTTCAAAGGTTTCAGCTCGCCAAGTAAGACACTTTGCTGGTCCTTTCTGAATCTGATTGGAAGATACGTTTATATATGTCTTTATCATAAATTGTGTAATGTGATGGTTAGAACTTTTGTGATGATTGTCTTTTCACTAGTTCAGTGTAATAGTGTGGGAGGGGAAGGGTGCCCATGAGATTGAGAAGGAAGACTTAATAGCCGCGAATAGAGAGATTGATTTGCTGAGAAATAATGATACCCATGTAACCCTTCAATTCTTTCAATAATCTATTGACTTGTGATTATGACAATGCATCACCTGATGCGTTGTATATCTACTAACTATAGAAATTCATATGAATATTACATTTCTGAATCTTCACACTTGAACCTTTTCTTTGATGAATAGGCTGTGCTTTGAAGCACATTTCAATTTGGAGTTCAGACTTGACCAGTACTTCCAGAACCTTAGGTTTCATTTCTGGAAGTTCTTCGATTCAAGGGTCTGATAATTTTTTACTTGTGCCACAATCACTGTATGGAGATCTCCTTGCTGGATCTCTACCCAAGTCGTTAATATTTTTCAGTTTTATATTAACTCCTGCTTGTCTAATAAGTAAATCTTCATAGTTTATCTTTGGTAATAGCCCTTTTAAGAATGAGTTATGTGATGCTTATAAAAGACGCATGTTTCTTCAACTTAAGGTAGAGAAAAATGTTGCACCCAGAGGTGGGGCCTAGTGGTCAATGAAGTGAGAGGAGAACGAGAACCATAGGATCTCAGGTCCATATCCAGTAGGGGAAAATAACACTAGGTACCTGTGCTGGTGGGAGATAGCAGGTAATCGGTGGAATAGTCGAAGTTCGCCCAAGCTGGCCCAACACCACACTAGCATAAAAAAGGGTGGAGAAAATGTTTGCGAGTATAATGGTTCTGGGTGAAGCTTTTTCTCTCTTGGTGTATTATGCGCCTTAATTCATGGTATTCTTGATTGCATTGTTAGGTTATACTTCTTCTTTTGCTTGTCTAATTTACTATTTACATTTATTCACAAAGCTGCCAAATTGGAACAGCCTTCTTTGTACTTATTTCCCTGCTTTTGTGGTCCAAATCATCATCCATATGTCAGTTAATATCTGTAACGGACTGCAAAATTTCATGAAGTTGAGTGACTATTTTTTTCTTATCTGTTGAATGTGAATATTCAAGGAAGACCTCTGCACTTGTTCTATGCTTTTTTCCTTGGCAATCATTTCGGTACTGAATCCTGCCAAATACAGCTACTGCAAATAAGATAGAAGCTGAAGAATGTTTTGATTTATAGGCTAACAAAGCCCCCAAGTTACGCGCTCCAGCTGTCCTATAATTTATGTCTGTTTTGAATTGGATGATGAAGTTGGAAAAAAGGTTATCAGTAGGAAGGCTGAAAAAATTGGTTTTGGTAAGTATTCAAATGGGAAAGCACCATTGAGTTGCTTTTTAATTTTAAAAAGAAACAAGAAGTGATTTCATTTCATTTGTTGGGTGATCTTTTGCTCTCACGTTCGAGTGTTTGCTCGTCATTAGGCTCGTGAATGCCAATTGCAAGTCTGGCTAAATATTATTTTTGGACAAGAACTCTGGATATAAAATATTTAGAAGTTACTCGCCAAAGTCATTATAATTTGGTACAGAGGGTGTCATTGATACATTTGTCCAAGTAACTAGCACTACAAAGAGTTTGTCAGAGACTGAACTCATCAGATTATTTTTTTTTTGCCAAAGACCAAAAAACAACATTATGTACAATAATATAGTTGTACCTTGTCTTTGCAAGTAATTGTAGCCTTCGTTAAATTTCTTTGCTGAACAGGTAAGTATTGTTGATGTCAAAAGCCAGCTCTACAAAGGACTCTATAAACTAGCCTTCATTGATCTTCTTATGTGAAACAAGTTGTTATTACTATTAATGTCAAGACCCAAGAGTTCCTGGTCTAAGCAAAGATAAGTCCTTGAACCTGTGGTTGCAAAAGGTTTTGGGTTTGACTTTGAATGCAAAAGAGAAAGGAAATTGCTTAGAAAATTAGGTTCTTATAACTTATGAAAACAATCACTACAACTGCCACACAGATAACAAGGCTCAAAGCTCCGGCATTGGTAATAATGGCTGACTGGTATAATGATGAGATGTAAAATATGAGAAAGGGGAATTATTTCACTTCTTTTTCTCTCCAGTTTTTGTTGCTAATGACAAGTTTTCACCTTGTTGGTACTTTCTGTTTCTTTAGTAGGAAGTTCTCCCTTTTCATGCTAATAATCTTTTGGTTACTACCGACAATTTTTAACTGTATGATGTTTGTTTACTCATGAAACTGATAGAGAAGGGGACGAGCTGGACGTGTTCAGCCAGGAGAATGCTATCATCTTTATCCCAGATGTGTATATGATGCTTTTGCAGATTATCAATTACCAGAAATTCTGAGGACTCCTTTGCAATCCCTTTGTTTGCAAATTAAAAGTTTAAAACTCGGTAGCATTTCTGAGTTCCTCACGAGGGCTTTGCAATCTCCCGAGTTATTAGCGGTAATGCTCTGTCAGATTTATTGTTCTTACTTGTGTGGTAATGAATATGTTAGCAATTTTCTTATTCGGTAGTACAGTTTACTGGCCTCTGATATAAGTTCAGACCATCTTGTGATCTGTACAAGTTCCCCCTTTGCTTGTTGCTTCAGTGAAGTAATCTTTTGTTTTGCTGATAGGTTCAAAATGCTGTTGAGTATCTGAAAATCATTGGGGCTTTAGATGAGAATGAAAATTTGACTGTTCTAGGTACGAAACTGAATTTTAACCGTATTCAAGTCTAACCATGTAGTCTGATTTTTCTCTGCCTTTGTTGTGGTTGAATGACAGGACGTTACTTAACAATGCTTCCAATGGAGCCTAAACTGGGGAAAATGCTTATACTTGGAGCAATTTTGAATTGTTTGGACCCGATATTAACTATTGTTGCTGGTCTTAATGTCCGAGATCCCTTCTTGACACCACTTGACAAGAAAGATGTAAGTTGAGCCTTCCGTGTTGCTGTTGTCATTATTTGCTTCATCTCCATTAGTTGGATCAAACATAACTTTCTTTGAGAGACCAGTTATGGTTTTGAGACATGCTAGCTTTTGTTTTCAGCTTGCAGATGCTGCCAAGGCTCACTTTTCACGCGATTTTAGTGACCATCTCGCTCTTGTCCAAGCATATGAGGGTTGGAGGGATGCTGAAAGAGACCTAGCTGGATATGAGTACTGCTGGAAGAATTTTCTGTCTGCACAGTCTATGAAAGCTATTGATTCTCTTCGCAAGGAGTTTTACTCTTTGCTGAACGACACTGGTCTTGTTGACAGCAACATTACCATGTATAATTCTTGGAGTTATGATGAGCATCTTCTTCGAGCGATTATCTGCTATGGGTTGTATCCTGGAATCTGTTCTGTACTGGTAAAACCTGCTGTCTCTCTTTATTTGCTTCAATATGTATCTTAGAGATCATATTTGCATTCACCATATATCCCATTTAATTTGTGCCTTTTTATTCATTTAAACAACCTGGACACGAGCGCTTATCCATAATTATAAATGTATAATTCCATAGTAGTAAAGCGCCCTCATGGATGATTTTAAGCTTTAGTGAAACCGCAAAAAAAAAAATCTTTAGTGAGCGTTGAAGTATCCTTGTTTCCAATGTTACTAATATTATTGCTTTTGCAGCATAATGAAAAGTCATTTTCATTGAAAACAATGGAAGATGGTCCGGTGCTATTACACTCGGTGAGTATGCTACCTGCGTATTTTGGTTTTCTTTAATAAAAGTCCCATTGATCTTACTCTCTTTCTGGTGTTATGCAAAGAACTCTGTTAATGCCCGGGACTCCAGGATACCATATCCTTGGCTGGTGTTCAATGAAAAGATCAAAGTAAACTGTGTCTTTCTACGGGATTCTACAGCTATCTCCGACTCAGTGCTGCTTCTATTTGGAGGAACCATCTCAAAAGGGGAAGTGGTGAGCTCCCCATCTTGCCTTCTGTTGATCCTAGATCCCGAAGGAGAAATTTGTGTACAGGTTAATGCCTAGTGTAATTAACCTGCTTACATATTCTCTCCGTTGATTGAAATCATTTACTTGATTTTTACAGGACGGTCACTTGAAAATGTTGGGTGGATACTTAGAGTTCTTTATGAACCCTACTATAGCAGAAATGTACAGAAGTCTAAGAAGAGAGCTTGATGAGTTAATTCACACTAAAGTAAGTGATTGTTTGCTACCTCACTTTATTGTCAATTCTGCTAAAGGATTGGTTCACAACAGATGGAATGCTATTCTGTTTTGTGCCTTGTCAAGTCTGAAGAAGCAGAGATTTTGTTAACAATTTTTTGAAATAATATTTCACTAAAGTTGACAATCTACATGGTACAGCTCCTGAATCCTAGGATGGATGTACATAGTTATCATGAACTTCTGTCAGCAATATGGTTGCTTATCTCAGAGGATCAATGCGGTGGCAGATTCGTTTTTAGTCATCAGATTTTACTTCCTTCCAAGCCATGTGCTGGAGCACCACCACCAGCTCCAACGTCAAGGATAGAAAGTGGTCCAGGAGGTGACAATGCTAAGTCTCAGCTACAGACGTTGCTGAATCGAGCAGGATATGCAACACCAACCTACAAGTCATTGCAACTCAATAACAATCAGTTTCGAGCAACTGTGGAGTTCAACGGAATGCAGATAATGGGAAGACCTTGCAACAACAAAAAGCAAGCTGAAAAAGATGCAGCAGCTGAGGCTCTGGAGTGGTTGTTGGAAGGGCACCGTGCAGGTCCTGATTACATTGAGCAGATGTCTCAGTTTCTGAAAAAGAGCAAAAAGGCATAGAGTGGACATCACAAAATTGGCATCAGTGATGCTTGGGACAGCTTCACGCCCTTGGTTTTGTTCGGGATGGGTTCATAGGAGCATCTGTGATGGCAGTTTTACTATGTATGTGAATATGATATCCTGGAACCCATGAACGGCTGATTCTGAAGTCTCACAAATGCAGTGGGCTCAGTAGTGAAATAGACTGCCTCTGAAATCTGGAAGTAAAGCTAAATCCAAGGGAGGAGGGGGGACAAGGTTGGATGGGTTGGCTTCTTTTGACTTGTCCCAATTTTTGCCTTTGCAGCTGTTCAGTCTGCTTGTCGAGCCAATGCACCTGAAATTACAATATCTTTGCGATTAGGAAATGCTTCATATTTTGCGAAGCAGATCAAATGCTCTGGTATTGTTGCACTTAATGGTTAAGTTCATCTTTATCCTTTGTATATATTAATAATGGTTTAGAATATCACTCTATCTTGCTATTAATGGCTGTTCTTAGAATTTTCTTTTTCTATGCCTCTACTTGGTGGTTCGTTGCCCGTTTGGTTACGTCTCAGGGCTATTTGATTGCTCAATGATCAATACAGGCAGAGTCAAATCAAGAGCCTTGAGCAATATCTGCGGAGCATGTGAGTGACCACTTATTATTATTATTACTTTACTGCAATAGCTGTGAATCCTTTTTTTTAACCCCTCCGTAGGAGCTCCTAGCTTTTTGCTCTCTTGGTGACTCGAACCCACAATCTTAGGGTTGAAAGTGAGGACTGTTTATCATTTGAGTAACTCCCTCTTGTCATAACTGTGAATCTTGAAAACTTTTAGAACTATTTTAATGTATGTGCGTGCAATTGCAAGTTGGGTCAAGAGCATCCAGTCTAGTCTCTTATTCCGGCACTGCTGATAGGCTGAATATGTGCTTAAAATTAAGGGAAAGGAAAATTATTTTACAATTGTACTATTGTACGTAGAGTAATATTGTAGTATCTTTTTTGTGTAAAAAAAGAAGTATAATTTACAAAAATTTCATAGTGTTAAGAGTTAATTACATTATTTCCCTACTCTTTTCCAATTTACAAGTCCCTTAAAATTTATGGATTTCGGACTGGACATTTGGATACATACGGGAGGGATGTATCGAGGGGATAGGACATTCAGATAAATAGGGGAGCGATGTATTTGAGAGGGGATAGAACATCCGGATACATAGGGAGGGATGTATCTGAGAGGGGATAGGATCCGGATACAAAGGGGAGGGATGCATTCAAGAGTGAAATGGATATATCAGCGAGACGGAAGTGATGTATTTGAGAGGGGATTTTTGAATTTTTTTTTAAATGGTAGGGAATTTTAGAGATTATGGTAAAATAAGATGTTTATTTGAGTAATGCACAATGTCCTTCACTTGTTGGGCTACTCTTTGAAAAATAAGTTCATCTAAAAAATTGGGCCAAATTTTAGATAAGAAGGTAAAGCATGGCCAATTTTGATAGAATTGTTGCTCCAACTGATAGACAATGTAATTGTCTTCTAATTCCTTTATATTTTAAAATTTTCATGTGTCCAATGCAAGTTCTCATCCAGCCGATATGGGATTCAATATCCCGTCCCACGTTTAGGACTAGACATCTGGTGTGTAGGAAGATCCTGACTTTGATATCATGTAAAGAAATGAATTTCTAGTTCATGAGAGAAAAATTATCAAGTTCATATATTCAAAAAAAGGAATTCATAATTTCCTCATCCCATCAATGTGGGACTTAAATATTTCAAGATTGGCCTAAACAACTTGCCTTTTAAGGGGACGTAAAGTTGCTAACGTAAATCAACTTCTCCTTCATCTCTCGTATCTCTTTTTTTGTTCTCACCCAGTGTTTAGAGTTTGCATTGGAGCCTCAATTTAATCAAGATCATGTATTGTAGGGTCCATTCGGGGGTGATGCTTCCCACGAGATTTTTTCCATACCAAGGGCTCAAATCCGATACTTTTGATTAAGGTGAAACTATCCTATTACTGTCCCACAACCTATGTTGGCTCCATCCGGTATCTCTTGATAACCACAAATCTCAAAAGGTGCACTAGAATTAGCAAATTTCGAAAGTTACACCCATTCAAAAGGAAATGTAAAACAATTTAGCATTATTTTGTAGTAATTCAATTAGATTTAATAGAATATCTTTTATATATCCTTAAAATGACGAAAATAACATGAAAAGATGAATAATAAGCAACAAACATGTAACTAGGAAACGTAACTAAAAGACAAGAAGACAAAATAAGCGATGAGAAAAATAAAAAGCATTACATGCTCAACCAACACTCTAAGGATGTCCAACATTTTCTTCTCCAACATTGTTGTCATTAGCAACAACTTCATTAAGTTGTATCTTCCTTTGTTCAAGTTGAACCCTCTTAGCAACAATTAACTTCAACAAACCCTTTATTTCTCTAACATTGAAGAGTTCTTTTCCCTCAAAAAGTTCATTGAAGAGGTTCTTCATTTCCTTCTCCTCAGCAATTTCCTCTAATTTTCTGATATATTTTTCTCGATTTTTCACTATAGGTTTAAGGTAGTCGTTATGTGTAACTAACTTGTGTTCTGGAAAACCTAAATAATCATTTACTATGTTCTGAGCCTCTATTAAAGATGGCCAAGTAAAAACATCGGGTTTTTGGGGAATAGAACAAATTATTCCAACTTTTACATCACATAGAATAGACAGCTCGTATGCTTTCTTACACAGTGATTCTAATTTTTCATCTAGCATTTTTTTTCTCTTTTCCTCATCAAGATCACTAGTGGTCAAACGTGCCCTCTTTCTAGGCATATTTTAGTACAAAAATAAATAAATATATAAGAGTGAGTTTCTATCTTTGAATATAAAATAAGAGTGTTTGGCTTATATTTATAGATGTGTAATAAGATCACATAATTAAATAATTGTAAGTTGTTGACTGATCTGACTAAAATATATAAACAAATTAATTGCACAATCTGATTTTTAAGGTATTCATTAATTAACTTACCTAAATAGATATAGTTAAAATCTTAAAAGTCAATCTTGAAGTTAAGTTTATGGAAGGTTAATAGCAATTAGTTATAGATTTTAGACTTCTAGAAGTTGTTACATTGAGCTCGTTTGGATTGAGTCAAAAATAAAAAGTCAAACTGAAATGACTTTTAAGTCAAAAAATAAAAAGTAGGAGGAGACCTACTTTTGATTTTTGACTTATTTTAAGTTATTTTTGACCTTGCCAAACACTTTCTAACTTATTTTAAGTTATTTTTTATATTTGTCAAACACTTCTAGAAGTAAAAAACTGACTTAAAAATAGGTTTGACCAACTTTTAAATTAATCCAAACACCCTCTAAGTCCAATAGATATAGATTTTAATGTGTTACTATTCAAAAATAAAATAATTATGACACTCCAAATACTGCTACCATATAGTATATGGGATTCTGTTAGAAACAACTAGCCTACAGGGTGTCATTTATTTGAGAGACTAGTAATAATAATTATATAGAAATGTCTATATTTTGGACTTTTTCCATGTAGTAAATATGCTATCTTTGACTAATTATAGAACTATATAATTGTCGAAACTAATTTAATATAATATATGAATAATTAAACAATAGAATGACTAATAATATTGATAAATTTGTGAATATTCCAAGCAAAAGATCAAAGTACCCATAATTCAATTATTAAAAAGTTTAATATGGACTAAGACTAATGGAATAGGAATAACTGGACCACCCTCCTTTTTAATATTTTAATAGTAAGTATATTTTATTTCTTTTCGATTAGGACAAGGAATTTTTATTATTTTTAATATTAAAATAAACATGCCTCGAAATTCGATATTTTATCTAGCTGTTAGATTTTAGGTTAATAATGTTGAGTTGAATGGAATCTGACTAATGAGTTTGAGACAGCCAGGGAAAGTCTGGTCCTTGTTGTCTTTTTTTTTCTTTTTCAAGTGTTCGATATTTATTTTGATGCCCGATTAAATTTGAATTTAGTAAAGTGCTTCATAACAAAGGTGACTTTGTACTCAAGGAGACTCGAACTCGAACAATACTTATCACTCCATTACACCCCTTATTGTCTTTCCGTGCTTTAAATTTTTGCAACATTTTATATCCTTTATATTGTTGTCTCCAATTCTATCAATCAAATCAAAAGAAATATTAAGTAAGACATTCAACTATATAGGGTATGATAAGCATCTTTTTGAGGTTGACAACCCTAGTATAGACTATAGTTAAGGTGTCGTTCGGTTGGGTTGAGAATAAGTTATTTTGGAATAAATTATTCCATCACTATGATATATATAACGTGATAAATAATTCCATGACTACCTAATACCTCCAACCAAATACAGGATAGAATAATCCTACATTTTATCCTAAAATTATTATGCCTTATACCTCACACCGAACGACTCCCGATTATATCTTCATTTGAGATTGATCTCTCCTACAAACATGGGCAAAAAGGGGCCTAATCCTCTTCTTCCTTCATCTATGTGACTATATGTTCTTCTCTTTATAATTGAAAGTGAAAATTGTGGATCACTTCAACTAGAAAGTCCCTATCTTGTCTATTTTTAATTTTTTGGTAAAGTGATTTCATTCAAAAGGTATATACGTTACAAACTATAAGTCAATAAGAAAATAAAATTTTGAAAATAACCATATCAAAGGTGAGGTTGTTTGAATCTAAGCCATGATTGATTTAATGTCAAATATGGGGTGCTCTAAAATAATAAAACTTGACAACCAATGTGAGTGAAAAGGTTTTCGGACTGAAAAACTAATTAATTAATCAATTATAGTTTGATCAGTTCAAATCACAATATTAACGATTCCCTCTGTCTCAAAATAAGTAGTGTCACTTTAGCTCATTTTACGATCATTAAATTATTTTAGTACTCCTTTTATTTTCGGACCCGTTTGGCCATAGATTTTTCAAGTAAAATTTGGGAGGAAATTTGGCAAATAGTGTTTACCCATACAATTTGTCATTACTTGACAAATATTTTTGGCAAATAATCCAAATCCTCAAATACTAGAAAAAACTAGTATTTGGGCCAAATTTCATTATTTGGGATCTTTTAAATATTTAAATTCTACAACAAACTTTTATATTTTACAAAAACACCCTCTATAGTAGTTGTTTGCGTCGTATTACATAATTTTTTACGTAAACACCAAAATAGCGATGGAATATTCAGTGAATATGAAAGTGATCATATGATTATTGATGAAAATAATGAACAATCTGCTCAGGGTAACAAAGTCATGTGTTTTGTCTACTTCACAATGTATGAAATGATGCTTGTTGCACTTACTCCGAACTACCATATTGCTCTAGTGTCATGGACACTACTTGGTATTTGTTGCAACGAAGATCCAATTGACTTATAAAACAAACCTATGGTTAGTTTTGATAGTTTTAAAAACTTATAAGTATAAATCATATTTCCTAAAAAAGTGAAATATGTTTCTCAAATACTATGGTCAAACGCTAGCTTCATTTAGTCGTCACAAGATATTTTGTAGAATTCTTAAGAAAAAATTAATTAATAATATAGCTCAACTAATACTTATATTTTTCTATAAATTATTAAATCTCTATATTTTAATAAAATCGATGATTTTATATAATTTATAACCGTACCAAATAATTAGGTAGGTCATTTGATTTTTGGGAAAAGGGTTTGAAAAATACTTAAACTTTGATCGAAATTGTTGTTACGATACCAAACTTTGGAAAAAGACCTTTTACCCCCTGTACTATTTAATAGTGTATTTTAAAGGTGTATATGTGCTTACGTAGACATCATAAATATTAC